AAATAAGTAAATCTAAATTTTTTAATGAAAACTTTTATAGTGAAAATTTTTTAGTAAAAAATAGATACTTTCGTCATAACTGAAGTTAAAAACCGCAAAAAAAAAAATTTGTGAAAATTATTTACTACTCAAAAACTATTTGCAATTAATTAAATATAAGAAATTATTCTAAGATCACAAAAGATAGGTATGTTATTTGTCAATATTCAAAACAGCTGTATGGTCAGTCAGAAACTCAATTAATTAATAAATAATAAAAAATTTATTTTAATAATTTACTGCTGTTCAAAATACATCTGTATTGAAAACAATAGTTCATATTAAGAATTTAGTTTTTTTTTGTCAACACGGACATTAAAAATTTAATTTAATAGAAAATTATTTATTGAGAATTTTTTAGTCAAAATTATTTAATAAAAATATTTTAACAACTATTTTTGTCAAAACGGACGTTAAAAATCAATTTAATAGAAAATTATTATTAAATATTTTTAGTTAAAATTTTTTAGTAATAAATATTTCAAAGTTTTAATTAGATTTGCCGAAAAAGCTACGCTTTCTTATAATGACAAAGAAGTTTTTTTTTTAAAAGTTAAACGGATTTGAATAACAAAGAAAAGAGTAGAACAAAAAATTTAGTTAATTTATTAAAATTTGGCTGACCATCCAACGCAGCCCTCTAAATAAATATTTTGGTGAAAATGTTTTCTATATAACAAAATTGATTAAGGATGTATTATTAGCAAGAGAGACTTATGACTGCAGCTAGCGACTCTGTACAAATCGCCTTTCAAATCAACACCTCAAAGACTAAACCCATGCGCCTGAACTCACGTGACAACAATCAGTTTAAAATATACGGGAAGACCATAGAAGACGTTGAAGGATTTAAGTATCTTGGAAGCACACTAAAAACTGAAGGCGGAACAGATGCAGATATAAAGAAAAGAATAGTGAAGGCTACTGGTACCTTCTCCGGTCTTTCTCGGATATGGTCAAAAAAACACCAAAAAACGAGAAACGAAAATACAAATACTTAATTCCTGCGTCAAATCTGTGCTAATTTACGGCAGCGGTACATGGTACTTAAAACAAGAGGCGATTCGTAAATTACAAACATTTATAAATAGATGTTTATGACGTATAGTCCGTATTTGGTAGCCCCGTACGATAACTAATGCTCATTTGTGGTAAATATCGAAACAAATTCTTATTGAGAAAGAAATAGTGCGTAGGAAATACAAGTGAATTGTGCATACCCTTTGGAAGGACGCAAACGAAATAGTACATGTAACCCTACAATGGAACTCTCAAGGTGCAAGAAAAAGCGGACGCCCCAAAGTAATATGGCGTAGAAACGTTAATATGGAAACGAATAAAACATTTAGGCTGTGTGACAGTTCGAGTAAATTGAGGTAAAGTAAATTGAAATTTCTTAGGGATTTCATGAACTGCACTTATTTACAATTATTTATTATTTTTCTGTTAAAAGTTTTTAAATTTATTTATTTATTTATTAAACATCTTATAAAATTTTTACAATGGAAATATCTAATTTACGTAATTTACCTAATTTCCCCTACTCGAAATTCTGGTAAATACCAACATTCGCTGCCGTACCGACATAATTTACTATTTCCCTCAATTTACTACCAATTTACTCGAACTTGCACATGGCCTTAATGAGTTAAGACATATAATTAGAAATTAAGATTTGTGGAAATCCTATGTAAATAGATTAAGTTCTTTATTTATTCCTTTGTCAATAATAATATAATTATTAGCGACTCCGAAAAATTCATAGAGAGAAAATGTATTCTTCGGAGTTGATAATCATTAACACAATTGTACCATAGACAATACTGAACTGGATACTTAGTTGTAGAATTTTATTCAATTCAATCAATTATTTCAATTTCCAAGTTTTGAAATTTATTTCATTTAATTCAAGCAATTATTGCAATTTCCAAATATGTTTGGAAATTTATTTGGAAATCAAAATAAATTGTAATAATTGCAAAATTCTAATAAATTACTTTTTAATATGAAAATTCTAATAAATTACTTTTTAATATGACAATTCTAATAAATTGAAAGAAATTTGTAAAACGTAAAAAAAATAATTTATTCAGGAATTTAAATTTGCAAGTTTTTATATATTTTTATATATGTATAAGTAAATAATTAGAACAGCAAATAAAGTCTAGAAAAATTCACCTTGACATTTATTCAAACTTACTCACATGTTAAACTATTTACATTATTATTTTGTTTTACAAATATGCCAAGATATTTCTTTCGATACTCGTACTATGAAGCAAGCAGGCATGCCTGACTGTCTGCCAGCTATTAAAACAAAATTTTTCCACACTCCACACAAACTTTCACAAGAAACATGCACATTTTCATATTTTCTTTGCTTTTTATTTTACACTTATAACAGCAATTAAATATCAACTGAGAAAAACAAAAAGAAAAACAAAAAAAAATCAAACACAAAACATAAAATTATGCTTAGTGCCCTACATTTTTCCATATAGAACTGATTAATTTGCGCATGTGAATGCGGAGAAATTCTTAGGCATTTGCTTCTTCCCTCACAGCCCTAATGAAAAACTCAAGCTGTTATATACCATACATACATGCAGGTCAAATACTTATGATAAGGAACTAACCTGTTTGTTTTTGTTTGTGCAGTTGCTGTAGCTGTAGCTGTAGCTTTTAGAATATCAAAAGTTATTAATGTTGCTTCTTCTTCTCTACTACAACAACTTTTCTTTTTACGGTAATTATTTTCTTGACTGCACTTTGTGGTTCCTGCTCTTACAGCGAATTGTTCTTGCTGTGAGTTGTTGTTATTGTTATTGGTAAGAATTTGTTCTTACTTCACTTTGCTTGCGGTGCGTTTATTTTTATATATACATAGATACATATATAAACTTTCAAACAACGATGCGTGTTCGATTGTTGTTGTTGTTTTTGTATGCAACAGTTTTGCGCAGAAATATAAAAAATTGATAATCAATCACACAACACACAAAATGCAATAAAATAAGGGCTCGCAGGAGAAATGTAAATTTATTATTACAAAAAAAAAATTCAAATTGCACTTATTTTTGCTTTTTTACATTTTTTTAACAGAGAAATTTTAAAAACAATAACACACTGTATACCATTACATATTTTCCTTATTGTTAAGGAGCAAAACAATAATAACACTTATCACAATTTTTATTTTGTTATTTGAATATAATGCTTTACAAATATTTTTGTTTTTGTAGGAAGAATAATTAAATTTTATTTTATACTTCAAATTTTATTATTTCCTTAAACAAAAAAAAATTAAACATCTCTTTCCTTTTGAAATTTCCTCTTGTTTTGTTATTGTTGTAGCACTTTTTCGAAATATATATTTTTTTTTATTCAACACAAATGCATTTTCATTTGCATTTAATTAAAAATTTCGTTTTAATTTTAAATTATATTGAACTTATTTTCTACGCATGGTGTATACTTAAATTTTTAATTTTTCCCCGATTTATTCGATTTTTTTTTTGTTTTTTATTACAAAACTATTTCTTTCGCTTGAACCATGCTAACACGCCAATTGCCGCTGAGAAACTGAAATATATTGCTGCTGTTTCTCTTATAATATTCAGAGTCTCGCACAGCACAAGAGCCACCAAGCATTGACTTCACTTTGTTTATAAAAATACATAAACAAAAATCAGAAAACAAAAATTAAACAAAACGGTTTTAGTTCTGTTTACGTTGTGGTGGATCGTTCTGTTCTGTATGCTACGTTTTTTTCTGATGCGTTCTTTAAAATTTACTGTTTACGTGCAGCGCTTGTGTTGTTAATATGCAACTGCTGTTATTAGTACGGCATTCGGTGAATTCGGAGTGCATTACAGTGTTGTTTATTTACTTATTATTCAAATATTTTTATTTAATATTTCTTTATATACAATATTAAAATTTTGAATTATTAAGGGTTTTTTTTTGAGGTTTGTATTAATTGAAAATGGTAATCAATTGTTTCTGTCTTTTAATTTTTGAACAAAAAAAAAACCCACGGCAGCTGTCAAATAAAAAAGAACATAAGAAAGCAACTTGCATAACCAGAAACCTGAACACTGCTTAACCCCACACACACATTAGTTTTAATCAACATATTTTTTTTATTCAGGATATTTTCAATCGGAAATA